ACCTATCTGTGTGTGGTTCACTGCCCTCCTCAAGCACATACATGTCCAGTTTGTTTCGAAGGAGATAATTGAATAGCAGCTACTTTTGCTGGGAGTTTGTTCCACATGTCCACGAGGGAGCAAATCTCATAATCTCTAGTTTTACTTGAAGCTTGTTAATATTGCACTCTAGGCCTCTAGCTTCACAGTCTTAGTCAAATATCTGCTTACATTGACATCACCTGTTTCTGTTGGAAGTGGAGGAAAACTAAGAGTCAAAACATTTCCCAAATCAGATTTTCTTATCCCACTGCCAAGTAGGCCAATGATTCATTGAAAAAAGCTTCTTATTGTAGCCAATTAATACCTTTACCTCTCCAGGTGTGGCCGTTTGCTAAGACATTGCATTTTTGCGTTAATTTCTGCTCCTGACACATTACTAATAGACTTTCATCCTTCATAACTTGGAAACATTTTAATCTTCAAACAATGTGGACTTTGCTGCAATAAAAAGATCTTCATTTTCCAATAATAACCAAGGAGGTCTCAAGTGCCAACAGATTAATAACTGCGATATCATCTTCTGTCACTCAGCACATTCTTTTGTGGTATTGGATGCATTTATTGTCTTAACAAGCTTAATGTTACAGAAAGGTTCAGCATTGAAGTAAGCTTTGATTTTTAAGTCCTAAAATCCAATTTCATTTTGAAAAGTTAAGGCTTGAATTTTTGTTGCTGCTCATTGTGACGAATGTTTGTGAATTACTGATAACCCTGCTCTCCGTTCCCAGACCAAGTGGACTTCTGATATCTATCAGCTCCTCTTTGTTGCACTGTTTCAGTCCCTCCTCCACCATTCCTTTCATATTATTTTGCCTCAGAGATTTCTCGGACTCAATGTTTTACCTTTGACCAGCGAGTCTAATGGATTCCTGAGAAGACTGCAAGATAGTAACCTAATTGAGGGGTTAAGTTAATATTATAACTGTTACGTCAGCCCCAGTATATGTGTAAAATCATTCCATGCCTTTTTTTAAATAAATAAGAGTTACAGCTGGACCCCCTTTATAACGTGATGGTTATTTTTGTTTTTTTGGGTCAGCCAGGTGTCTGACACATGCGGAAACCCATCACCTTCATCGCTAAAAATTTGTTGATAAATAATTTTCAGTGTTTCTTGGTCCCTTCCAGGACAGACAGTAATTGTACTTACTGTACAATTTTCCTATTCAGATTTAAACCTGCATCAGTTCTGCAGGTGATCATAAATATATCTCGATTCTCCAAAGGCCTGAACTGTGTTTAGTTTTTCAGTTACTCGGTGGTGCTGGGAAGATGTTAGTTGAGTGTAAATCCTTTGAGGAGTTTAGTCTCTAACAGCATCATCTTCAGTTTTGACTTGCATGAAGTCATTTCAGATTTCATTGTCATTATTCCAACTAATACGATTATATTTTAGATGAGCTAAACACCATGTAGAGGAGCCTGTTGAGTGGACAATGCCCATGATGTTGTTCTTTTAAAGATGAATACACAGTCTGTAACCTTCAAAATGTCACATGTTATATTATTTGACTGTAAAAGTGCATTTGTTGCATAGGGGATTCAAGTGAGTTATCACTCTATGAATGCACAACATTTTCTTTCATAAAATAATTATTTGGTAATTTTATTTTTTTAGAATAATTTGGATTCCTTTCCTTTAAGCTGTGCAGGAGCTGGTAATGTGACAAACTATAGTTCCCTTTACTGAGCAACAGTGTGTGTGAAGTGAAGGCAAGAGGGAGCTTTGGGTGTGGAGTGAGGCAGTGATGCCGTCCTCCTCATGTATGCATGTCCAGTCAGGGTGTCTTACTCACAGGCCAGTGAATATAATGCTCTCCTATGCCTGAGATACAGTAGGTGTCATAAATAATCCAGGACACTGTTAGCTAAAACCTTTACAGGTTATTTTACAAAGTATCAAGTAGCAGTAGAGTACTGTATATTGTCAAGCAATAAATCCAATGTAATTAAATGAATTCATTAAAATATTGCTGTGCCGGTACAGATTTCCTATTTACAGCAAGTTTATAAGAATTGTAAACATAATAAAATTTAAAGAGCAAATAATTTTAAAATCCTGGATCCTGCCCCAGAGACTGACTGTAAATGTTATGGCTAACAGTGTATTTTTAAAGATTTCCATAAAAATGTCAGTAGAAATGTAATCGCTTTATCTTCAGATTGTTGTCCTTGCTGGGGGAGTGATTGACTCTCTCCTGAGCAATCACTTTTACCTCTTCTCATCCCAGTGGAATCATAGAATGATACAGCACAGAAGGAGGCCATTTGGCCCATCGTGTCTGTGTTGGCTCTTTTAAAAGAGCTATCCAAATTAATCCCACTCCCCTGCGCTCTCCCCATAGCCCTGCAAACTTGTCCTCCCCAAATTGGAGCAGGTAACAGATTTACCCTTTCCAAACAATTTCACAGTACTGTATCCCCAGTGCCCATTATTTAGTGTTTCTTTGTTCGCGACCCTATATGTATTGCACAACCACTAAGGATTACACTTGTCTGTTCAATTATATTTTATATAGTTATTTTTCACAGGCCATTTCATACAAAACCTGAGTGCCAATATAGTTAAATTAGATGGGCTTTTAAAAATATCATTTATATCTGTACTATAAAGACAACTCACAGCTGCATCACCACTTTTCCTCTTAAATCTTTCTTTTGCTGTGGTCATGGCTGGACTAGACATAAGATCACAAGAGAGGTACAAACAACGAGGACCCTTAGACACTTCTAATCTCATGATTCCAGCATACCCACCCTACTATCGCCCCATCAAACTGTTTCTGAAATGTCCTGGCCTCTACCACCCTCCTGGTGACTCACTCTTTGATTGCCCTTCCTGGAAAGAATTATTTCCTCTTGTCTGTCGTGCCTGTGTGTTGGGGGAGGGTGAAGGGACAGGTGTATGTGTGGATTACCGGGGAGGGGGAGAAGCAGCTGAGCTGCCTGTCCCTACTTTTCCTCTGCAGCAATCCACATTTTGCATATTAAGATAGGTGAATAGCATTGGTACAATGTTTGCATATTCAAATACACATTGGAAAATGTGAGCATTGTATACCTTCAATTATTTAATAATAATAATCCTTGCATTTGATAGAGTGCTTTTCACGACTTCTAGACGTCTCAAAGCGCCTCACAGAATAGACTGTAAAGTGAATTGACTGTGTATTTGTGGGTGAAATGCATCAGCCAATTGCGCACAACAGTGTTCCACAAACAGTTGTGGTTTGAAGTGACCAATTTCTTATTGTTTGTTTTCTTGAGGGATTATTATCAGGCGTGTGGGGTAAGGAAACTTGCCCAAAGTTTCGCCCTGCCGGGAATTGAAACCAGGTCTCTCGCTTGCAAAGCGAGTACTCTAACCACTGAACTACAGGACTCCACTTCTTGCAGCTGCTTACCAAATGCCTACACCACGAACCCCAGCCTACATTGTGTTAGCCAACTCCCTTCATTTAAAACTAAATCAGCACTCAGTGTGATCCTATCTGCTAATTTTTTTTATTTTCTGAGATATTGTATTTAATATATCTGAGGATACTGCACTCTAGAATCAAGTCTTGTTCATTAGTTTTGAAGGACGAATATTCCTGTAGAATAAAGAATAACAACAAGGTTATAAAATATTTTACCTTGTAGTTTTCCAAAAGAAAATGCATCCTGTTGTATGGTATTGGATTGTACAGACAAGGAAGATTGCAGGTCCGATCCCTGGTCTGTGTTAGTCAGTTTGAGCCAGGATTGGGATCATCTTTTTGGTCTCAGCTTCTCTAAATAGGAAGTGGAGAATTGGACAGCGTTTCTGGAAGTGCTTGTGTTGTGATTGTCAGGTTAGGAGAGTTTCAGGCTTGGCTATGAAGAATGATTGAGTAGCCCACTAACACTCACTGACTATTTCTCTTCTGGTGGTGATTCTCAGTTCATGCCCTCGTGTTACTGACTTTTTACTGATCAGTAAAAATAGTCTCCCTTTACATACCCTCCAATAAAAAAATCTAATGTAAAACCTCTAACAGGCCTGTTTTACTTTCTTTGTTCCAATGTAAACAGTTTCAGTTTCACAAAAACAAGAAATAATGGTAGAATATTGTAAAGATTAATAATAATGTGAAGCATAGCTTGTATGAAACATCAGATTGTGGTACGCCTTGATTATTATCTGAGGATAACTATGATCTCAATAGAACAGTGCATTAGGTTTCAGTGATATTCCTTCCTGTTGACTAAGTGCATTATAAGTAATGGCCCATCTTCATAATGTGATAAAGTGGTTCTTACTTGGCGCTGCATTGTAAAGCTACAGTTTGCAATACTGCAGCAATCTAGGACATGTAGAGGAGCAGTATAAACTCAAATGGAAAGGCAGTGAAAAATAAGATCCACTGGTACACAGAGTGGAGTAGAAATTCCACACCAGGTCTAAATATACTGGACATTCTTAGCATTTCAGAGCATCCAGAATTTGACAAATTCTTAAATTCAGTTCTTACAGTTTTCTGTAAGTTCTTTTAAGAATTCAAAGTTAAGACTCAATTCAACAATTTGCCAAATTCTGGCACATGAAATGTTGGGTAAGTCAAGTAAATCCAGATGCAGGTGAAATTTCTCCACAAGTATTCCTTATTTTCCATGTAATGTAACAATGCGCCAGGGTTCCTCTTTATAATTGACACCACTTAATTCTTTGGCAGTGCCCCAACAATTTGTTCTCCTTTGGTCCCTAAGTAACTTGACAGAAGCTATATTGGTGGGTAGGGGAAATAGGCCAGCGTCCAATATCGTGCAGCATATTGGTGCTGGTAGATTTAAGGATACACAGTAAAATAGCAAGTTTTATAGACAATGTTTCAATCATGTACATTATTTTATTACTCTATCAAATCTCTGTTTTCCTCCTTCCCCTCCCCCTACCTGTTTCTGCCTCTCTACCTTTCCCTGATTCTTACACAAATTAGGATCTGGTACTCATCAAGGCTGGAAGCGAACCATCCACAGTCAGGGAGTCACTACTTTCCCTTGCCCAAGTTGCAAACATGATGTTGATTTGGGCGAACGTGGTATTAGCGGCCTCTTCCGAAACTTCACGTTGGAAACGATTGTGGAACGATACAGACAAGCAGCCAGGGCAGCTGTGGCCATCATGTGCAATCTCTGCAAGCCCCCGCCCCAGGAAGCCACCAAGAGCTGCATGGACTGCAAGGCAAGCTATTGCAATGAGTGCTTCAAGCTCCATCATCCATGGGGAACTCCAAAGGCTCAGCACGAGTATGCGGGACCAACCAACAACTTCCGACCTAAGGTACTGTGCTCCTGTTGCCACTGTTTTTAAAGCTTACTCCCAACACGGCTGTGCTTATTACACTGGAATTTCTAAAATGAATGCAACCATGCCTTCATGTATCAGAATTTGACAAGCTTTAAAAAAAACATTTTGACAAATTTCTTTTATAAGAAAATATAAATTTATAAACTTAGTGTGTCCTATTATTTTTCCTCTTCTTCCCCCCACTACCATATGTCTCTGTGCTCCTGGTCTGTTCCTCTCTTGCTAGGGTGCGGGTCTGCGTGTGTCAGACGCTCGAGTGACCAAACAAAAAAGATCAGCTTGCAATGTCATTATGACGAAAATGACACATGCCATTTCTGTTCCTCCAGAGAGGAATAAAGATTTGCTAAGCACTGTTTCATGAAGACAGCACTTTAATAATTAATTTGATAAGAGCATAGCTGCACCGTGAATCAGCCGGGCAAATGGAGAGCATTGCATTAGCAGGGAGTTGAGATACTTCAGTGACTCACAGCCTCTCCTATACAAGCTGTAGAGCTTTGAGTGAGAAATACCAATTCTACTGGTGTTTATTAACAGAGACACAGCATGTTAAGGATAACAGCAATAATAGCTTGCTTTTATATTGGGCCTTTCTTATAAAAGAAAGTCTCTAAGGAACTGTGGAGAAATTCAGAAGTGGGAATAATCTAAAGATCAAGGAAGATATGTTTGAAGTGACAATACATGTTTTAAAGGGCTTTAGTGTAGTTTCACCAGTGGGTGTAGCATAAACAGCATTTTCTCAAGTGAATCCATGTTATAGCATGCAGAATCTTCAGCTGCAATAAGAACTTAGATCCTGGCCAAGTTACTTAATTGCAATTGAGAACACAACACCCGAAATTCCACCTACTTTTAGTTTCTAAGCCCATTTTGTCTTAAAATGTAAGATTGCACCAAATTGTGGAAAATTCTTAAATTCAGTCTTAATTTATAAGTAGATTTTCCGGACTCTTAAAAGGAACCAGCTTCCAAATTACAACTAAATTTTGGAATGTTCCACTTCTTTGTGCAATCTTAAATTTTATGATAAAATGGCACAGTGAGGTATGAGTGTGTAGGCTACACGGTTGAGTTGATTTACTTGCTTATTCAATCTGACCAAAATGTACAGATGAATGCTAAAACTAACATATCCCTTAGAACAGTCACATGAAACAGGAGTTAAAGCGTCCTGAACATTTCGAGGAGCGATTGAGATTGATTTTAGTTTTTATCGCTGTCAGTTGGTCAGAGATTATTTCTCATGTGTTTTTCTGAAGAGAAACACAGAATTTTCACTCTGAAGAGTTTCATTCACCATCTCTGAAGTTGCTAAATCCCTTCACAAACATTTGATTTGCTCATTCATGAAATAAGGATAAATAATTTACAGTGGCACAATGGTTTCTAGATTCTTCTTTCTTTAAAAGAGAGAATGACCCTCTTTTAAGGAGGGTGTTTGGAATAACAGAGACAGAGCCCAAACCTTCAGTCCCAGTGAATCATGCGTAAATTATGACACTTATCACAAGACTGACAGATAAATATGCGACAGATGTTGCACTCTATGAATGTGTGGCAGATGTTGCATTCAGATGCCCCACATGCAAGAGTAACAGCTGCATGTCATCCATTCAGCTTCACTCATCTTGTATTCTGAGCATTATCTTGGTGTTAGAGCCCATGTGTAAATTTGATGGGAGATAAATGAAAATGACACCAAGCTAAATTTTTCTTTCAATATTCTTCCCGTTTACCGATCTCTCCTGAAGGTAGCAACTGGTGCAGTGGTGGGTTCGATTCCTGGCAGGGCAAAATGTTGGACAAATTTCCTTATTCCCCATGCCTCTGTTTACCTAGCAGTAAGAAGGAACCCGGTTGTTAGGCGATTGGTCACTTCAATCCACAACTGTTTATGGGTCACTGCTGTGCGCAATTGGCTGCCGCGTTTTGCCCACATAATATACAGTCAATTCACTTTACAGTATATTATGTGAAGCATTTTGAGATGTCTAGAAGACGTGATAAAGCGCTATATCAAATACAAGGTTTATTATTATTATTGTGCAGAACTGTGGACATTTTTTTAATTCAGTCTTAATTTTGAAGCCAGTTTTCAGTTATTCTTAAAAATGTTGGATGAAAACTGAATTCAAAACATTTTTCATGTGTTTGGGGTCATACATGGAACCTTCAGTCTGGGTTAGATAATCTTTAAGCGTGGTGATGGGTTTCCACATGGGTCTGACTTCCAGAACCCTGAGTATGTGTTGAGCTTCTACTGGAGTTTAATCAACTGTAATTGTGTGGCTTGCCAATGCTAACACCGTCTGGCAAGCTTCCCACTGCTTGTTCAGCTATGACAACCCTAACCGTTTGGGTTTTGGCTTGAAGCATTAACAGGAGCTGAGTGTAAAGATTCCCTGCCCCCTGCCAGCTGGGCAATCTTTGCGATAACTTAGCGACTGGCCAGATGGAGCACAATGTTCTTTCCCGATCCTGTAGATTCCCCACGTAACTGCTTATCTTCTGTATATTGTTATTGATCAATGCAGCCATTCTAACTGGAGTATTACCCACACCCTATTTTACTCTTTTATTAAATGGATCTTTCTCAATAAACGTTCCCTCAATAACACTACAATAGTAACAGGTTGGGGACATTTTTTAATGGACACAAGGTGGGTCTTCATGCTAGCAATAATAAGTGTACTCTGCCTCTGCAGGTTACTGATGCTGGCAGCAAATGAAAGATTTGAGTAATTTAGTTTCTTGCTGTTGATTTTCGGCCATTATAATTCCTGACTCCAGGAATAACACTGGTAGAAAAGAATGCTCTTTGGAAGATTGCCATTGTGATTTTTTTGCCGTCCCCCTCCCCGAGTTATGTGTTCTCCAGTTATTGTATAATAATAATACAATAATCCTTGCATTTGATATAGCGCTTTTCATGTTTTCTAGATGTCTCAAAGCGCTTCACAGAATAGACTGTAAAGTGAATTGACTGTATTTTTTGTGGGCAAAAGGTATGAATATTAAAAATAAGTAAACAGTAACACAGTTGGATTTCTACGACTTGCATTGATGTTGCATGTACAGTTATTTCTATTTGTATTCACTTTGTATTTGTTTTCTTGTGTTCCTCTGCCCTTCCCCACTCAACCACCACCAGATTTTGATGTGCCCTGAGCATGAAATGGAAAGGGTGAGCATGTACTGTGAAGTGTGCAGACGGCCTGTGTGCCACCTGTGTAAGCTTGGAGGATCACACGCTAACCACAAAGTCACCTCCATGAGCAGTGCCTACAAAATCCTCAAGGTAGGTTATGTTACCAGAACAGAAGGCAGCGACTGCTTTCATTTTCTACAAGAACTTATTATATTCTCAAATATCAACTCATTGAGATATTTTAATATCCCCCTAATTCTTGGTCTCTATTCAATCTTTAATATTTAATAATGTTACGTATCAGTTACTTTCCTTTTCCTTAGTCTCGGCTTTCATCTATTTCCTCCCTTTTCTTTAGTTTTGACTTCGATAGGGCTGATAATTGTTGTGTGTATTGTACAGAGGAAGACATTGTGGAAGTGTTGACAGCCGGTGTGACTGAATGATGTTCTCTGGTTTCATTCCGCTCTGCATTTTGTTGTCATACCAACAGGACAAGCTGTCCAAGAGTATTAGTTACCTCATCAGTAAAGAGGACCAAGTGAAGACTCAGATATTCCAACTGGAACGCATGATTCAACATACAGAGGTAGGAGTCACATGGAATGATGGGCAGGTCACCTCCTATAGCCACTCATTCTGTTCGTTTGTATCCTGAGTCAGTGTAGTTTCAGAATTTCTATGTTGCACAACCATATTCCACATGGCAGTTTAAACACTTCAAGACATTCTTTTTATGCTAAAAGTGCTATATAAATGCAATTTATTGTTGTATCATAAGAAGAAAATAATCTTTGCATTTCATATGGTGGTTGAGTCCTGGAGAGCTAACTTTCTTCAGTTGAATGTCAACAAGACTGAGGCTCTCCTGATTGGCTTCCGTCAACGCCTCCACACCTCAGGTGTTGACAGCATCACTACCCAAGGATGCACACTCCACCTTGCTAAGCCAGTCTGGACCCGTGTTGTCTTGTTTGACCCTCAACTGTCCTTTCTACCCCACATCCGTGCCATGACCTGCTCTGCCTTCCCCCACCTCTGCAACATTGCCTGGCTCCGCCATTGTCTCACACCGCAGGCCACCGAAAAACCTCATACACGCATTCTTAATATCCATGCTTGACTAGCAAATTCCCTACCTATGGGCCTCCCTAACTCCTCCCTCCATAGGCTGCAGATCATCCAGAACTCTGCAGCCGTGTCCTCTCCCGCACCAGGATCCGTGACCCTATCACCGCATCCTCACCCGACTCCACTGGCTTTCCATCACACAGAGGATACAGTTCAAGATCCTGGTCCTCACTTTCAAAGCCCGCCACGGCCTCGCTCCCTCCTACTTCTGCGACTCCCTAAACCCCTACCAACCTGCCCGCTCCTCCGCTCAGCAGGCTTCGGTCTGCTTCATGTCCACCGCCTCGCCCACCCCACCATTGGCAGGCGAGCCTTCTGCCACTCAGCCCCCACCCTCTGGAACTCCATCCAACAATCCCTCCGCCTTGCACCCTCCCTTGCCTCCTTCAAAACCCATTTCAAGACCCTCCTCTTTGACTGTGCCTTTGATCACCCTCCTTTCCCCCCCCCCACCCCCAAACACACCCTCCCCGATCATGAGTTCGGATCTTAACAAACTCCAACACACAATTGTTCTTAGTTTTCTGATGCATGGCATCTGACACATGCCACCATACATAAGAGTATCCAAATCAGACTGAGAGTTACACATTCACATGCCACCTATGTACGGAAATTTCCCTGTATCTCGAATGTAGACTCCCTGCTCCCAGACTCACTGTCCCTCCAAGTCCTGCCGATAAGCTAGGCTGCCTTGTCTGTCATCAACAGTACTATGGACTCACCTAGCACAACAACCAGACACCCGAGACCGCCATGGAGGGTTAACTTGATTCTGCATTCCGTTGCCAAGCATGTCACATTGGGGTCAGCTCAGCTCTAAGGAGACTTTGCCTACCTCTCTTCTAAGGAGGGAAAATCCTATAGCCTACAACATTGTTCATATTCAGGCTTATCTTATTCTTTCTCAATCTCTCAGGTTCTTCCCCACATTTCAAGACTGAGGATTGCCTCACTTCCCTCAGTCTTTCCTTCATCCCACAACCAATAAAGGCATTTAAAACTCAAACTTGGCATCACCTAAGTACCACTCCTTGACCAAATCAATCAATGAGAGATTGATTTATCTCTCATTTTTTCAACTTCACCTCACTTTAGTGATGATGTACTTAGCTCTTTACCTTGATTATACAATAAAAGAAAATGAACCGCCCTCATTTGGATGGTGTGCCCCCCGCCCCCCACACCCCTCCCCCGCCCCCCAACGCACACACAAAAATAAAAGATAGCAAGGAAATACATTGTGTACATTACCGCTGTCAGCAGCCAACGCAACCTGCAGTGAAGCATGTGACTGTTTCAGTCTGTATTGAATGCAATAATTGCACTGATGTTAAAAATTGGTAATTTGGTTGTCATTAATCACACAATTCTCGATGTTGCGCCTACCAGTGAAAGAGTGACTTTATTCAAACACTAACACTATTGTGACTTGTGCAAAGTTTAAATTGAATGAATAGTCTGAATTAAACCTTGAGCATTTTTGTAACTGTCTCTCTGACAGTGCTCAGATTCTGTTCTTTGTTTGCTGTGGGCTATGAATGCTGGGTCTTGTGCACAAATGGTCCCTTGATCAGTGAGCTGCAGGATAATGTGTCATATTCTGATTTCATATAAATCTATTCATTGACTTTGCAGAAGCTGCCAGTGACAATCTTAGGTTCTAAGGCACTCTGTACTGGTGGCTCTGGTTACACTACCTGACAATTAAAAAAACAAGGAAACAATGCTAACTGCCGACAGCAATGCTGTCAATACAAGGTCACTGTAACTGGATCACTGAGTATATGTGTTAACTCATCTTAGTATGTTTTGTTATTTTCCTCTATTGGGCCTGTTGTGTCCACTCTGTATCACTCTCTTTGCTACTTTGTGATTGGGGGTTCCTGTGGCTGTGCCTGTTTTACCTGGCCCTGAGGTGGATTGATCCAGTACCACAGAGTTGCCTATCCAGTGGCTTATATGACGTCATCCGCAGACATGGGGTAAATTTCCACATGTATGCGAATGATACCCAACTCTACCTCTCTGCCTCCACCCTGAACTCCAGGACTACTGACCGATTGCCTGTCCGACATCAAGTCCTGGACGTGGGCCAACTTTCTCCAATTCAACGTCAGCAAGACCGAGGCCCCCCTGATTGGCTCGTGCCAGCACCTCCGCACCTCAGGCACTGGCAGCATCAGCATCCGTGGCTGCACACTCAACCTCACTAAGCCCATCAGGAACCTGGGTGTCTTGTTTGACCCGGAACTGTCCTTTCTCCCCCACATCTACGCCATGACCGGCACTGCCTACCACCACCTCCGCAACATTGCCAGACTCCGCCACTGCCTCACCTCTCAGGCTGTCGAAACCCTCACCCACGCATTCGTCACCTCAAGGCTAGATTACAGGAACTCCCTCCTCGTCGGCCTTCCCAACTCTTCCCTTCACAAGCTGCAGATCATCCAAAACTCTGCAGCTCGTGTACTCTCACGCACCAGGTTCTGTGACCCCATCACTCCCACCCTCGCCCGACTCCACTGGCTCCCCATCCCCCAGAGGATCGAGTTCAAGATCCTCATTCTCGCCTTTAAGACCATCCATGGCCTTGCCCGATCCTACCTCTCTGACCTGCTGACTCCCTACCAACCTGACCGCTCCCTCCACTCATCAGGCTCCGGCCTGCTCCATGTCTCCCGCCCGATCGACCCTACCATCGGTGGCCGGGCTTTCAGCCTCTCTGCCTCCACACGGTCCCTTTGCTTCACTTCCTCCCTTGCATCCTTCAAGGCCAGTCTCAAGACCCTTGTCTTTGATCGTGCCTTTGGTCTCCCTCCCACCTCTCTGCCTTCTCTCACCCCTACACCACCCCTCTCCCATGCTCGGGCCCCGACATCTGACTGTTCAGTGCTTTGGGACGTCCTCCCGATGTGAAAGGCGCTCTATAAATGTAATTTTGTTGTTGTTGTATATAAAAACTTTATCGATTGAAGGACCTTGGATATGGTTGTTAGACAAGGCTCCATCTCCATCCCTGGTTCATTTCCTGCTACATTAATTGATGTAACTTGCAGTGCAGGAAGCACTGTCTTGTTGAATGTATATTCTTGGGGTGAGTACCGGCAGTCAGGTTGAATGTACAATGTCAGATTGAGTGTGCATTGTCATGTTGTGTGAGGGTGCATGTTTTGGCTGAGTGTGCACTCTGGCTGAATATACATTCCTTAATTGAGTATGAACATTTGGTTTGAGTGTGTGTTTCCTGGTTGAATATGCATCCCTGGTTTAGTGTATTTTTTCTGAATGACTGTACACACCTTGGTTGAGTGTGCCCTCTGGTCTTGGGTGCTCTCTCTGGTTGAGTGTGCACTATTGGGTTGAGAATGCCACATGTGCTACTGATTCCTTCTTTCTACCTATGCAAACATTATAGACTTGGGGCGAGGGTTGCGTACCATGATCTTTGACCCATGCAGATTAAAACCATGTGGTGTATTGTGAATGTAAGATTAGCTTAACCTATTGTCCTCCAGAGATATGGAGTCAGTATAGATTTAATCTGGTTCTTATAGAAAGTCATATCAGTGTTCGTGTCACAGAGTAAGTACCCTGTGATGAAAGTTAGTTGTAAATAGGTTTAACATTGTGCTGAGTCAGCATTAAACAGTTGTTTCACTCACAGTGCCATACATTCTGCTGGTCAGTAAAGTTACCACTTTGGTAGTGCTCAGTTACAGAAGATTTCCTCATAAGTTGCACCAAATAATGGAATTTCATCCACTAGAGTATAATGTGTTGTAAGATTAATATTTTGTCACCATTCTTCTTTACACACTCCCGCATCTTTTCACAAGTGGACTCTGAAAAGCATTAGTTAGACCAATCTGTCCTCTCTGATACCTGAGATTCCATTGTCTTAGCTTTTAAGACCCATTTTTTTTCATGGTATCAGTCTGGGACAGTTGGTAGCACTCTCGCCTCTAAATCAGAAGGTTGTGGGTTCAAGCCCCAGTTCCGGACTTGTAACTTATAGTCCAGGCTGACACTCCAGTGCAGTGTTGGGGGTGGGCGGTATTGTTGAGGGTTCCGTCTTTTGGATGAGGTGTGAAACTGAGGTCCTGTCTGCCTCTTCAAATGCATGTTAATGATCCCATGGCACTATTTGAAAAGAGAAGGGAGTTTCTCCTGGTGTCCTGGCAACTATCCCCCAAATAAAATTGGTCATTCACTTCATGGTTGTTTGTAGGATATTGCTGTATGTAAACAGACTGCTGCTTACACTTGAAATGCAGTCACTATGCTTCATACTATATTCTATGAAGTGCTTTGAAATGTCCTCCTGACATGAAAGGCATTATACCAAATGCAAGTATTATAATTTTTTGTTAATGTTTAAGATCGCACATTCTTGTGGAACATTCTTAAATTCAATCTTAATTTGGAACCCAATCTTTTGCAGTTCATAAAAAGAACCAGCTTCCAAATTAAAATTTAGATTTGTGGAAAAATCTTATGAAATTTGACATTATAGGACAAAGTGACTTTACATGCTAAGATTTTTCAGCTTCCACTATCCCAAAAGGACCACTGGATAGAGGGTTGGGAGCTTGATTCCAGGCTCAACTCTCTTGTGTGCTGAGATCAATTCTCGCTTCCCTGTTGTCACCCAGGCTCAGATCCATTAACCTAGCACAGACCACCGGTGGATCATGGGACCTTACTGGCCTCTATGGCTTAGTTTCAGTGCTTGCACTTAAGAATTTGTGTATTGATTTATGAGAGAGATGTGGTTTTGCATTGATAGAGTGATTCTTAAAGATGAGTCAGTTTCAACAAGGCATTAAATTCTGTGCTTAACTTGGCTCAGAAAGCATTATTCTCTTGATCAGTTCTCTTCATCATTTTCAAACTGTACGTTATCCACCATTGCTTGATTTTCGTGAGAGTTGGAAATTTACTTAGTTCTGATGTCTCCTTAGCCCCTCTGTGGATCGACATGGTGTTAAAATTTAAGATCCCACAAAATTTTGGGAAACGTCTTAAATGTAATCTCAATTAGAAGCCAGTTTTCTGCATTTGTTTGAGTGCTGTGAAAAGCTGGCAACCAAATGAAGACTGAGTTCGAGCATTTTCCAAAATTCTGTACAATCGTAAACGTTCTGTACAAATAATCTAGATGAGGATATCGAAGTTAATATATCTAAATTCGTGGATGACACAAAACTAGGAGGAAGTGCCAACACAGAGGACGACATTAAAAAAATCCAGCGAGACATAGATAGGTTAGGTGATTGGGTAGGGAGGTGGCAGATGAAGTATAATGTAGCGAAGTGGGAAGTCATCCACCTAGGTAGCAAAAACAGTAGAGCGGGTTATTTTTTAGAAGGGGAGAGATTAGAATGTGTTAGCGTCCAGAGGGACTTGGGTGTCCTTGTACACCAATCACAGAAAGTTAGTCTGCAGGGGCAGCAGCAATTAGGAAGGCGAACGGTATGTTAGCATTCATTATGAAAGGATTAGAGTATAAGAGTAGGGAAGTCTTGCTGCAACTCTATAGGGCCCTGGTGAGACCACACCTGGAATACTGTGTCCAGTTTTGGTCTCCTCATTTAAGGAAGGATGTACTTGCCTTGGAAGGGGTGCAGCGTAGGTTTACTAGGTTAGTGCCAGGGATGAAGGGGTTGAGTTACGAGGATAGGCTGACCAATTTGGGCCTATATTCTCTAGAATATAGAAGAATTAGAGGTGATCTTATAGAAACCTATAAGATCATCAAAGGGCATGATAGAGTAGATAGTGGGAGATTGTTTCCCCTGGTTGGAGAAACTAAAACCAGGGGTCACAACCTTAAAATCAGAGCCCAGCCCTTTCGCACTGAGTTGAGGAAGAACTTCTTCACTCAGAGGGTGGTGAATGTATGGAACTCGCTACCCCAAAGGGCTGTTGATGCTCAGTCCTTGAACATATTCAAGACTGAGATAGATAGATTTCTTATTGCAAAAGGGATTAAGGGATATGGGGATAAGGCAGGGTCAGGTTATTAGCTGGAGTTAGATTAGAAGATCAGCCATGATTGAATGGCGGGGCAGGCTCGAAGGGCCGAATGGCCGACTCCTGCTCCTACATGTTATGTTATGTAAAAAATACACATCAGTGTATTTAAGGCTAGGACCATGTGATGTTTCAGATCCTCTGTCTGACTCGCTTTCATTGGTAACTTCAATAAGCATTCTTACCCTGCTAGCTATTTTCTGGTACCTTTATCTTGCCCAGTTAACAATTCATTCATTAATGCAGAAAGTCAAATGAAAGGCCAGGTCAGCATCCCAACAGAATTTAAATTAACAGTGTGAGCTTTTCAATCTCAAGCAGGATCAGCTTTACTTGTTGGAGATTTCTTGTTAATTCTGATGGGATTTAACTAGTGATCACTGAGATTAATTCACAATTCTTTTCATCTCTCTGGGCCTGCTCCCTGAGACTCGATTGCTTCTCTACAACCTTGTTCTTTGGTTTTACTGCAATATCTTTCTTTACCTTACAATAACCAAGGATTCCTCATTAAGATGCCTTGTTCATGCCTACAGATAGTCACTGCATTTGAAATGGTTACTGTAAAGCACTTAGAAATGTTTTGATGTATAAAGTGCTATAGAAATCCCACTATTGGGTAAAAATTCTGTTCAGTATTACACGCATTGCCTATGGCGATGTCAGTCTTTCAGGGGATTTCCCATTATAGTCTTCTGTGTAAAGCTGAATGCAATTTTTATCCATATTTGCTTGGACACTATGTAAGAACTAAATCCATTAGCATGATGAAGGTGCGGTGAATATGTTTCTCTTTCCCTGGCACCTAATCAGGCAACTCACTAATCATATTTTGTAGCCTGAGTCATATGATTGTGATCAAGCTCATTCAGATTCATTTATACTAATCCATAAAACTGGTAACCAACTGGGTACCTTGTTTAAAATCTAATATGTTTATATGGGATTGAATCTAAATCTGGAGTCAGACACCTTTTAATAGAGGTGGCTGTTATTCTGGCACGGGACTCCCGCCAGAATAAACAGTTCCCCTTAATTGAGACTGCTACTGCCCTGCTCGCCTTTAACAGAGAAGTCAGTAATGAAGGGTACTGGAAGTGGAAACTGGCTCCAGTTAATTTTCTGGGTTTGAAAGTGTACAAACAAACAGTAGAGCTTCATAACATCCTTTCAGAAATGTGGAATGCTGGCCTACTCAATGTCGGAGGCTGACCGACTTAGTAACCTGCCAAGAAATATATAGCAAAAGGAATCACTAAATAAGGTAAAAATCACCTCTCAGAAAAAGATATTTGTACAGTCAAGCCACCAGCCACAATGTGCTTCTCAAACTATCAGGTTAACTAATTCACATCAGAGGAAGTGATATTCAATTCTTCACTAGCAAGAGAGTCTGAATATGTGAGTTACAATCAACTGGCCATGAAAAGCTACAGTGTAAGATCGTCCAAGGCAGGATATAGGCTGCAGGCGATTTAGGAAAACGAGGTATATGTGTTGCGACCTGAGATAACTTAATGTACAAAGTGTGTTTGTTCTAAATTTGGGTGTGGAAGTGTACAAAAGGGTAATTTTGAGCCTAGGAAATATATGCATTCCTAAATCTAAAACTGGATTCTCTTCCTCCATCTCACCATTAGTAACTGAGCCTTCAGCTATTATGTACCCATTCTCTGGAACTCTATTAAAATAATAATAATCCTTACAATTGATATAGTGCCTTATCACGTAGTTGAGACATCTCAAAGTGCTTCACAGAATATATTGTAAAGTGGAATGATTGTATTTTGTGGGTGAACCGCAGCAGCCAATTATAATAATAATAATAATCCTTGCATTTGATATAGCGCTTTTCACATTGGGAGGACGTCCCAAAGCGCTTCACAGAACACACTGTAAAGTGAATTGACTGTATATTTGTGGGCGAACGCGGCAGCCAATTGCGCACAGCAATGTCCCACAAACAGTCGTAGATTGAAAAATGACCAATTTAATTATTGTTTTTGTTTTTTTGGAGGGATTATTATTAGGCATGTGGAGTAAGGAAACTTGCCCAAGGTTTCGCCCTGCCTGGAATTGAACTCAGGTCTCTCGCTTGCAAAGCGAGTGCTCTAACCACTGAGCTACAGGACTCCTCCTTATACAATTGCACACAGCAGTGTCCCACAATCTATACTAAAATTCTTTCCTTGGAATGATCCAAGGAAAGGATCTCTATCTCTCTCTCTTTGACTACAAAAACTTGCCTTAAAACTTGATGGCCAGTCTTTGCCTAACACCCTCAAAATCCCATTCATTTCCACCCTGTTTTGTGATTCCCCATCATCTTTTTTCCAGGCATTTCTGATAGAATTGTGGTGCTTCTGTTTCTAGGTGAGATTGTGCTTTTGGCTGTCATACCTGTGAATCACTCACTTGCTTCAAACCTAGTCCCAATGCAGTATTATTGCTCTGCACTGCTTCAGATTGCTCCGTAAAGGTATCAACTGGAAGATACAAGAAGCATCTATCTCAATTGTTGATTCATGTTGGTATTGGGGGTTTGTTGTTGACACAACGTTTTGTTTGGACACTGTCCTTCAGGACCTCGTTGAGAAGGGGCAATGGATACTCTGGTCATTCTGGTTTTGCTTTGAGTATAATTATTTCCAAAGTGCGCAGACATTTCAAAATGTATTCCATGTGGCAATTAGAGCCACAATTTTACCCAGACTTTGAACACTGTCATGTTTAAGGAATTGTGCCAGTTATGAATGTACTTGTGAAAAGCCTTGAATTTTACCCCTTTTATCTGTAAATGGAGACAGGGTGAGTGGTGGATTCAGGTGTATGGTCATTTTACCTAGAATTTTCTTGCAGAGTAACGGTGAGAAAGCAAAAGAAGAAACAATCAATCTGATGGACCGTCTGAGCAACATCCTGGTGCAGCGCAAAGTGGAAATGGTCCATTCAATCGAGGAGACCCATTCTTCAAAGCTGGAGAGACTCCGGAGTCAAATGGATGAATATCAGGGGATGCTGGAATACAGTGGCTTGGTGGGATATGCTCAGGAGGTACTGAAGGAAACGGACCAATCCTGCTTTGTGCAAACAGCAAAGCAGCTACACACTAGGTGGGTTCTTGTGGAGAAGTAAGGATGTCACTCATTCCTGTACCAACCACAGCACTCACATGTTTTGCATGGAGGCTGGGTATATATAGAGTATACACTTAAATAAATGCAGAACATAGTCTTAAAAAATAGTTAAGGTGGTTAAAAGGAAATGAAGGGTACATTTCTTTCCACAAAGTGTTGCGAGAATGTAGAATGAATTGCCCCAGAACCATAGACGTAGAATTGATTGAGTTGTTTAAAAGAGAAATAGATAGCTAGAGAGTATGAGAGTTAAGGGATTGTAGAGATTAGAAGCTGCTATCAGATAATAAAATAGTTCAGTGAGTTGAATGGTCTCTATTTTGCAACATTCTTAATATCACACTAGAATGTGCAGTTCTGATGACCTATGAGCAGGGCTTCATTCCAAAACTCAGGAGGAGCTGAGCCGGTCTGGAGGTTCCCTGCTTTGGGATGGTGCAATAACTTCTCTCTAACATGCTTTGACTTTTACAAGTACTGGAGGTTAAGCAACAACAGAATTGTTTTCATTTGGAAGAAAAAGGTCACGTAGCTATCATCCCTGAACTGCATCATTCACAGCACCTGGAGGATTCCTATCGGAACAAAAAATGTTCCAACATAATGGTTTCCACCAGTGCTCCCTAGGACTGAGCCAGCAGATCCGCTCCATGTGTCACACTTGCCAAACCCCAGCAACAATTCAATCTGAGAAAAAGTAACTTCCAGCAGCCATTACACCATTTACAACACCCATTTACAGGCTAGGCATACACTCTGCAGCAATGAATGCAAAATGTGTCCCAATGGCCTCAAAGCAAAATCACTGGCCTCTCTCCAGCACCCTGAAAGGCAAATAAGCCCATTTCTGTTGCCACGCTCACAGTCAGCTTTGTAACGTAGTACATCTTTGGTCTGAAGAGTGCTGTTTCGACAAGCCTTTTGTAATTCTGTCTCTCTGAAGGAAAGGCTTTACGATTGGTAACACTTTTGTGTTTCAGGATTCGTACAGCCACTGAATCACTGAAAACCTTCCAGCCAGCTGCGGAGCCTTCCTTCACAGAATTCACTCTGGACACTTCCAGGGAAGAGGAGCTCCTCAAACACTTGTCCTTCACATATGGTGAGTGTCTCTGCAGTAAATCTTCACTTGGATTCATATCCCTGACTGTGCTGGCTGTACTTTAGCTAAAATAAGTCAGCAAGGTTTGGCGTCCTGTCCAATTCCTTGTGGTAGTCCAACAGAGTGACAGGGTGGTAGAGTTTGACAGAGTACAGGGTGTCCAGAAAGTTCTCCTACCCCTGATTACAAAACAGCAATATGAGACTATGGAGGAGCTGAAACAAACTGTCAGAATGCATTTTGCCTCGTCACTCCATCTTGTTGCACTGAACATGGCAGTAATTCATTATCTGCCATGAAAATGAAGATGCTCACACCGATCACAAAGAATGATATTTGCATAACTCAGCTTCATCTTTTCAGCTCCACCGTACACGGTTAGTATTATGTCCTATGCCTAGGAGAGGTACAATATAGATACACAAACACCGCTAATTTTTTAATTGATATTCCACCAGAGCAGGGTCCAAAGCAAAAGGGATAATTGTATGGACTGTGCTGAGTTAGCTGATCTGAGCCACGGCTTTGCTGTGTCTGGATAAGGAAAGAGAAAATCACCTTGGTTTCCTTTTCCTGAGTAGTGTTCAGTGAATACTGCTGGAATGTGCATAGATGTGACTATCAGGCAAGGAAAGAACTGAGCTGTTAGTTGCTGTCTCAGCTCACTCGTGGAGAGTGACTTTATAAGAGAAGTACAGAACTGCAGCCAAACCCCAGTTAGTGACTTTGAGAGAGGTAAATCTGAGAAAATTAATAATTTTAGTAATATAAAATAATATTAATAATAAAATATCATTTTTATTGTAAATTAATAACACTTTTGTAGTTTAGTAAATTACTACTAAATAGTAAATTACTACTATTGACTAAGACTAGGTAGAATTTTGGGTCTCTGGAGTTATTACTAAATTACTACTAAACAGTAATTTAGTAATAACTCCAGAGACCCGAAATTCTACCTCGTCTTAGTCAGTAAGATTATCTTACATTTTGCACAAAATTCTTAGAAATCAGTTTTCATTTGAAAGCTGGTTCTTTTAAGAACTGAGGAGATCTGGAAATGTTGGTTGTGGGTGGGAGCGTTTTCACTAAGAATAAGAACAGAGTGATTAGTTCAGATAATTAGTCATTAATATATATATTTAACACAGAACTCTTAGTTTGATTTAGAGGCCATTCAACCCATCAGACCAGTTCATTGTACCTTGTTGTCCACATGTTTCACATACCTATCTAACCCCCATACCCACCCCCAAAAAAGTTGTAACGCAGAATTATGTTTTTTAAAGCAAAGGAGCAAATGGTATAAAGTAAACGAACAATAAATGTGTTTACGTAATGAAGCACATCATTGGCAGTCAAGGAAGAGGCTAAATGGAATATCTGGTCAGTTTAAATTCCACGATAAGGCTACTGGACCAACAGATAAGTGCGATTAATATCATACTAGAATTGGAAAGTGACCTTTTGCACCATGTGCTGTGTTAGCAGTCCTTGTCAATGACTCTCATTTACAATTTTCCTGACTGCCAGGACTGCAATCTTTTCACAATAAATCTCCTCCTTTCCTGAATCCATTTCTAAGAGATTGACGTTTTCATATTGCATTTCCCCCACACATCTGTTGCATGGTTCAAATCCACCATTTTCTTAAAAAAAATCTGAATTTTAAGAGAAGAAATGCCACTTTAATACAGATCCTCCACTTGCACCACCATCATGTGCAGCATTACCAAGAAGTGCAGTTGAGCTATTTCCATGCCTGTGCTATTGGAAGGTCACTAGCAGGTGTGCACAACTCTACTCTATGTATTTTATTTCCCCTTTCCTCCATTATTGTGGCTACTGTCCACTCACCCCAGTGCCGCACTTGGGCAAGAAATAACTGTGTGGACAGTTGAGCCTAAAGCTGTGTTGTGTTCCCTGTGGTGCAGCCTGTTGCCTCAGCTCATCTACTTCCTTGTATAAAGATTATGCACAATTCAGGGGAGGCGATAAAACAGCAGTATTCCCAACAGGATTTGTGTCAATCATATTGTACCTGTACAGGACGTGTATCACTCTGATTCCATTCCGATTCTGTGAATAAAATCTCTTGAGTACCTGCGAGTTGCTGTGATGCACAATATGTACGGATCCTTTGTGAATACTGTGTTTTTGACTCCAATCACTGTAGATGTAACTGGTACATTTATATCAATTATTCCTGTAGTAATACCTTAGCATCTGACACTTCAGGTAAGAAATTAGTCTTTTTCAGCTCAGTTAAATTTCACACTGACTCTGGCATTCTGCTGCTTTAATGGGGACTTAATTCAATTGGATCAATACATGCCTTAAGATTGATGATAAACGATGCTTTCAGGCTGGTCTTACCCTCCACGGACACGACCTGCACTGAAGCAGGATGTTGTTTAGATTATATGCTACATGTTTCATGCCATTTACAGACTAAATTCAGGACCTGATGGTAGTAATACAGTCTGTTATTGATTCAGTAAGAATCGCTTTCAAAATATTAATGGCTCTGACTCTCACTTTTCAAGATACATTATCCACTAAAAGCCTGAGTGCGGATATTGACTTTCTGGTGTTTACTTGATGTTCAAGCTGTTGAGCCATATCTAGAGCCTCTGTAGATATTTGGGTATAAACACTCTATACCTGCATTCGCTCACAAAACACAGTCACTGCACTTTACAGTATAGCCTGTGAAGCACACTTCTTTTTGACTTGAAAGATGTATATTATTATTTTTTAAAAAAAAGAACTTAGGTGAAGGGATGAGACCCATAACATTAAGTTTAAAAAGAGTAGCAGAGTGATAAGGTAAATCAAGTGGAAGTCCAACATTTTGGACTTTAAATCCTGTAGATTTATTTTAACTGCTTTGAAACCTCCTCTGAGACATGAAAGGCACAATATAGTGTAAATTGTATTTTTGGGGGGTTAGTCATGTAACTGATGGATGTGGAAACCCATCACCATAAGTACAATTATCCAGAACGATGATGACGAAACAACGACTTGCATTTCTATAGCACCTTTCACTCAGTGTAGAGGACTAAATAAATGCAAGGTGGTGATTCAGAATGCTTATCCAGACTGATTTCCCCTTGGGTATGCCACCTACATTTGACATTTCCCTATGTCTGGAATGAAATGTACATTCTCTCCCTGGGAGGTAAGTACCTTGTTTTACAGAGTATTATTAATTAATAATTTTGCAGAGTATTAGGCGGAGGTTTGCAAATGGACATTGGGATATTTCTGGACTTTAACCAGCTATAACCACATATCTTGTTAGGAAGGGCATGTACGAGGAAGATAAAGGAACTCTACAATCTTGAGATCTTGAGAATGAATGAGTTAGTGCGCAGTAAAGATGTAGGGAGGGTGCAGAGTGTGTAAGTGTGTGTTGTATAATAAGAGTAATCCTATCATTTGATGTAGTGGCTTTTATGTCAATAAGACATTTCAAAATGCTTCAAAAGAATTACTGTAAAGTGGAATGAATTGGGGTTGAATTGTGTTGAGCTTGAGAGGAATGAGAGAGGAATGAGCGGGAGCAGTGGCTGAAATAGTGTTAATAAAATCAAAGGACAGTGAAGACTGATATGGAGAGAGGATGGAAGCTGAAGGTGAGGAAAGATCCCAAGACTTTCCTTGTATCCTTTCCGGGAATATGAGAAAGGTCTCCTTTAGAAAACTAGAGGACCCTCACAAAATATATAAACAACATTTAAGTCTTGGAAAAACATAGATTTTCTGAGAGTTAAGCATTGCTTAATAGAAAAAAAATACTTTGCATGATACAGGGAAATGTGTCCTGCAAACTGGTTCAGCAATGAAAAACTTATGAAAATTCTACTTGAAGTCAGAGAGTTGGAGGAATTTATTTCAGCTCTTTAGTCCTTTTACAGGCACTTCTTGTGATGAGTAATGAAGGGATGTTTCCCACAAACAACAAATTGCTTTCATTGAATTCTCTGGTTTCACATCCATTTGATCCTGATTTTAGTGTAGCATTTTACAAATTAGTTTAGCCACTCAGGAATCATAGAATCATAGAATAGTGAAACTACTTTCAGCAATTGGTTCTGAACTTTGAGACAGAAATGTAAATAGGAATATTAAATATCAGTCAATACTGTATATAACACTACACCCCAGGTTCCAAGTGCCTTCTGATTTTAATGTTAATAAAATTGGCCATTCACTTTATGGCTTCCTTGTGGGATATTGCTGTGCGCAAATTGGATGCCGCTTTCATTTACCCAGTTACTACACTTTACAGTAAACCCTTGAAGCACTTTGAAAAGTCTTTCTGACATGAAAAATTCTATATCAAATACAAGGATTATTGTTCTTATTATTAGGTGAACACTATTGTAGATATGAGCTGTGAGTGACCTGCATATTGCTACTGTGTTTATTTACTGCATTATTGCTACTGTGGAGTCCTTAGCTCAGTTGTTAGAGCACTCGCCTCGCAAACGAGAGACAACAACAACATAACAACAAAATTACATTTATAGAGCGCCTTTCACGTCGGGAGGATAATCCCTCAAGAAAAATAAATAAAAATAATAATTTGGACACTCAGTCCACGACAGTCAAAATATGCAGTCAATTCACTTTACACTATAACCTGTGAAGCGCTTTGAGGCGTCTAGAAGACGTGAAAAGCATTATATCAGATGCAAGGATTTGTTTATTGATGTGTAGAATGCTCATTTGTCATTAATGCTTTAGTTCCAGAAGCTCCACTTATTGACCTGAAGGAGAGCCATCTATATAACCAAGGTCTCATCTGCTGGCAGCAGCCCAGCGGCACCCCTTCAGTCGACCATTACAGGCTCGAATACAGGAAACTTGACCAGGAGGGAGACTCTCCCTGGGTGTGCACTGAGGACGTGGAGAGCACGAGTAAAACCATCCCTGGCCTGGACATCGATAGTGTTTATCTCTTCAGAATCAAGGGTTGCAAAAAGTCTGTCTACAGCAACTATAGCAAGGAGGTGTCTTTCCATACGCCACCTGCCCCAGGTATGGCCTTTGGTAAAGGGAGGTGTGGGGTGGGGTGGATTACTGAATTACCTGTATAATTACAGTTGCATTTCTAACTTTAATAATAATGTATAAAATGTATTATTTTCAAAAGAGAAGAGCAGGTCTTCAAAGCTCTCGATGAAGACTTTTTCAAGCCCTAAACAACACTTGTGGTTTCTATCTCGATGCAGTTGATGGCGATTTACCTGTACATGTTAATAATGCCCCAGGGGCATTGTGTCGTACTTTTTTAATCTTTCTTTCACAGTAGTCAGTTCCATTCATTTCGTACGCACACTTGCTTTCCTTCTCTTGAGGAGGAGCCTGAAAGAAAACAGGAACAGAACCCACCTCAAAGATTATAAAGGATTTTGAAGTCATTAACCTGCCCTGAGCTGCCTTGCTTAAGATTCACTTAGAGAGAAAAAAAATTTGGTCACTTAATCCACAACTGTTTGTGGGACATTGCTGTATGCAGTTGGCTGCCACAATTTCACCCACAAAATATACAATCAATTCATATACTGTACAGTATATTCTGTGAAGCGCTTTGAGACGTCTTAAAGATGTGATAAGACGCTATATCAAATGCAAGGATTATTATTATTAATAGTAGTATTATTATTATTGATATTGGCTTCCTGCTTAGCGAGGATTATTTTTGAACATTAAAATTCATCCCTTCTATTTGGGAATCCAGGATGACAGCACCCAAGCATTTTCAGATGGGTTTGGGCACTACCATTATTCAGAAGTTCAGGACAGTATCTCAAAACACATATTGATAAAAAAAATTAAATATCAGTGGAGTGTTTTAGGAATGACACAATCTTTGCAATACTGGCTGGATTGTTGTAAGACTTCTAATGGATAAAATTCACTCCAAGTTTTTATAGCAGTTGATAATGATAGATCCCACACGAGTAGTAACAGATATAACCTGTGGCATATTTATCACGGGTAATGTCTAAATTTTATGACTCCGGTAAAGAATTTTGCAGAGCGTACAAACCAGAGATAATGGTTAAGCTTTCTAAGGGTTAAAGGGTAAGTAAGCTGTTTATGTGTTGTGTTTTCCAGATAAATGGAATAATTGGTTTTAAGTTTAGTGGTAAATGGAAACAAATTGAGCTTTCTGTACAAATGTCACACATGACAAGGTAAAAGGATTATGGAGCAAGCTGGCAGTCTTGTTCCATTGTTAAGATTTGTAATCATGGAAAATGGAAAGAATTTCTGCTGCAAGAGCTGCTTAAACCTTAGTTTATAACATAAGCCACTTTGAAAAGGCCTTGCCATTTCTGACAGCTCAGGACCGGATTTGCAAACTCATGCTTTAGGGGCATTTTTAATAAAATAGGGATACCAGTGGATGTCAAAATATTGCATTACGAAAAAAGCCATACATCACATTGTACATGGTTCTTCTGTTTTTTTAAGTTTTCATCAGGTTTAGGCCAAGCCACGTTTTTCTAATCACTTAAAAGTCATTCATGAGCCTGAGAATGTGGATTTCACCCCCTCGCTGGTTGATCATATGTTTGTTTGTTTATTTATTTATAAATTATATTATTTCTTTATATTATATTCAGCAAATTATCAACTCTCTCTCTCTCACCTTGTTCAAGGTCCATCTCAAGACCTACCTCTTTAACTGCACTTTTGATCATCTTTCCCCTCCACACCCCCGCAGCTCATATCACCAATTTGTGTGCTCAGCCTGGACTGTTAAGTGCCTTGAGATGTCCTCCTGACGTGGAAGGTGTTATGTAAAAACAAATTGTATTGCATCAATCCCAGAAAAGCGATATTAGAAAAACATTTGGAATCGCCTCAATGATTAAAAATTAAATTTTTTTAAAAAAATTGGAGGTTGAACGAGATAGAAAGTGTTGAATCCACTTACCAAAGAGGTGCTTCACCTACTGGTAGATATTGACTGTTCATTAAAAAGTCACAAAAGTGCAGTTTCTCCCCGAGTCTCACGGGATCTTTAACGTCCACTTGAAAATAGTCAAGTATAGTTTCTAACCTGAAAGACAGCACATTGCAACTATACAGCACTCTCCCACATTATACTGCAAGGCTAGCTCCTAGACTATGACACAAGCCATGACTTGATGCCTTAAACCCACAATCTCAGACACAGGTGAGACTGCTGACAACTGAGCCAAGTTTACTAACGTGAACCTGATGGAATCAAATATGTAGCTAAAATGTTGTTCTCTGACTATAATGTATTCAACAGGCTGTACCAGTGGATGGGGCACGTCAGAACAAGTGAGCAGCTTCCTCTGCCTTTTTCCAATTTCTGAACATATCATTCATCTTCAGAAAAAGTGTAGAGGTTTTTAACATGAAGACAGTAGTGCATGTGTGATATAGCTCTTCAGTCCACAGGGATTAATTTTGCACTCATTGACCAATTTATGCAGGAAATAATAGTCAAACCCTATACAGATTATTATTAGAAGTAGGTCACTGCAACACTATGCTTGGTGTTAATGGGTTCTGCATTCATTACATAATTCTTACATAACCTGAATCCACCAAGAATCAGGCTGGACAGTGATCAGCATAATTCATTACTGCTTCACCTCATATGTTCTTGGACTCTTCTTTAATTTTTGTCTTTTTATTCATTTCTGTTTATTTCTTTTGCAAAATCTGTTCACTAGATCACAACATCACAAAATTTGTCTGGATTGATCAATCCCAACCAATCTCATCCCTCCAGAACCCCCAGCCTACCACAGCCCATCAACTCTCTCTACAAGATTATTGGTACCGTTAGGTGTTAGCCTGGCTTAGCTGGTCGGACTCTCAATTCTAAGTCAGAAGGTTGTTAGTTTAAGCCCGAGGTCAGGACCTTGAACTCAGTCTAGTCTGGAGGTGTGCTGCATTGCTGCTGTCCTTCAGATGAAACGTTAAACTCAGGTCCAGTCTGCCTGTTTAGGTAGATGTTAAATATCCCCTGCATTATCAAAAAGAGAAGAGAGTTTCTCCTGGTGTCCTGGAAAACAATACCCTTAAATAAAATTGGTCATTCATCTCATGGCTTATTATTATTATTTGTTATATTCCACATTTCAATTAATTTGCTTATTTTTCCTCAATTTCGCTTCAAACCACCTCCTCCTCGCTCCTAAATTTCCTTTAACTTAACTCTCTCAATGATGTATACCGTTTGCGAGATGAGAAGGTGGACAGGGGACCTGACTTGAAGTTGCTCCTTATTCTGTTTGATATTGTCCTGGCCAACAATCCCCCAAAATGAAATTGGTCACTCACTCCATAGCTGTTTGTGGGACATTACTGTGTGCAACTGGCTGCCCACAAAATACAAAGTCAATCCACTTTGCAGTATATCCTGTGAAGCGCTTTGAGAAGTCTCAATGGCAATCTAAATCAAATGCAAGGATTTATTATTACTATTATTGATTCAGGCTGACCTGCCTTTGTTTTGTCCCCTGGTCTTTGGGTAACCATAGCATATTGCCTGATGCTGCACTGAGGTTGTGAACCTGCTGTGTGAATACAGAGGGGATGGGAAGTGGCTGCAGTGGACCTTGTCTCCTGAAACAATTCTAATTTACTGATACGATTGCATGAACCCTTCACATTCTCTTTTAAAACACTGCTCACTTTCTGTAGATGGGGCCGAAATATTTTTTTTCTTTTGTGTTCAATTTCTCAGCCCTTTAGATCTAGATATTCGAAAATGATTCATCGGGTACTTCTTGGCAAAAGCCCCGATTGCATTTAGAGATAGCAGGAAACAACAAGTTTCCATTTTTGTAGTGCTTTATCATATGACATTTCAAATAGCACTGCAGGTAATGGCTTGTGTATTAACATGACAGTTATTTTGTGCACAGGAAAATCCCACAGTTATCAGGTGAACAACCAAATAATCTGGAGCGTTGTTGGCCAGGACAGTACGAGAAACTTCCTTGTCTTTTCAAATCGTGTTGTGGGATATTCATCTGAACAGGCAGTCGACATCTTGTCTTTTGGATGAGATTAAAACAATGTGGCCTTGTCCCCAAACTGCATTTGAATCCTAACTATGACCTTAAGTTCTAACAAAGAGGTTTATAACAAAGTTCATCTATAGTTAGCTGCAGTGGAGGATGGAACACCAGTATAGGCTGCTTCTCTGCTGTATTTCTATACTTTCACATCGGGAGGACGTGCCAACATCAACAGTGTACCATCGCATCCTGAAAATGGGGAAGGAAGTGGCAAGGATTAAATTAGGGATCTTGCAAGCATAGAAATTACAGCATAAAAGCAGATAATTAATAATTACATAAGAATTATCAAATAATAATACTAAATAACAATTATTATAACTATTAATAATTATTGAATAATAATAATCTATGCATTTGGTGTAGCTCCTTTCACATCGGGAGGACTTTCTTAATACCATTCAATGGGGGGGGGGGATTTTCTTATGGCTGGCTTTGTCACTCCAGAGTTACCTGATCAGACCAGTCTCCATTACAGAGACATTCATTGTACAGTTTGTAGTGCACTTCAAGGAGCTTTCATTTAATGGTCATTTGGCTTAGTTTGAATAGAATAGCTTGAACAGAGACTGCACAAAAAGAGCTTATTAGCAATGTTTTCCAAACAAATGCTTTACTCTCCCACCAGCATTTTTTTTAATTTGAGGAACTTTTTTTTGAAACAAACATAAGATTTTTACCCCCGGGCACCTGCTATTAGTTATAACATCATTCTTCCTTCAGTGACCCTTTTATTTAGTTTTCAAGGGCCCTTTGCAAAACAGCAATTAAAACTTGTATCAGATTTTAACAAAATAAAAACTACATGCATCCAGCTGGTAAGATATATGAAGTGTTCGCTGTGCCATCAGCTTTGAAACGTAGTCTTAAAAGAGTTACATTCCAACAAACGCTGGTTTGAACAGGTTTGAAGGCAGTTTCAACAGGATGTAGTGTAATACTTAAAGGAGCAAACCAGAAATG